GATAAAATATTATGATCTGTATTCTTTGCAACAAAGATAACAGGTACATAATGTAGAAAATAACGCTTCTCATAAAGACATAATAGATACACTTTCTAAAAAAATGAATTTTTATTTCTCATATACAAAAATGTAAGAAAAGTACATTAAAGTCGTTTTTATCCATCAATCCTGTGCGCGTTTTGCAATAACACTTCGGCTAATGCATTAATACTATAATCTGCAATGAGCAAATCTATTTGCGCGCATAACCAATTTATAAAGTTATTGTAATTTTAATATTTTAAATATATGATATATTTAATATAAAAGTCATCTCAAGGAAATTTCACATACTAATAAATATAAATAATAGTTAATAATTTTTTGCACTATATCTTAATCAATGTGCTGTAGGTATAAAAGAATAATTATACGTCTCGTTGTTGACATCACGTTTATAAGAAGCGAACAATTTTGTGAGTTTCGTCAGTAAAATGTTAAATTGTAAATTGTTTCTGAATCTAGGTTTGGACACTTAAAAATCCGTTCATATAATGTCCCTCGACGATGAAATTCGGACGTAGGCGTCTATTTTACATTTAGTGACCTTCGACAATTGAGAGAACAAGTGAGCAACCCACAGTAATGTTTCGATGTAAGTCAAATATTATGACGATTGATTTTGTGCGCACAAAAGTTTAATCCTTGCAGGTTTTACTTTTTTTTGGAGAATTGGTACACATTTCGTTCAAAGAATAATAAACTTTCAAGTAAGACCCCTATCTAAAACTAAACAACATATGAAAACACGCCAATGTGGGTCACAAGGCAAGATTGTAGGTAGCCCAACTTGCAAATCTTCTATCTTTCTGATTCACAATTTTCAGAAAGATGGAAGATTTGCAAGTTGGGCTATCTACATTTGGCGTGTTCTCATATGTTGTTTACATTTCGTTCAGTTACTTTTACAAGTTTTAAGGGACACTGAATACCAAAATGGAGTCCAAACAAAAAATTTTAATGATTAATTTAATATACGACAAATGCGTGTAATAAAATTATCAAATTTTAATGAAACTTTTTTTTATAGAGGAACGCATATAATTCTATTTCTCGGGGAACTTTAGAAAACATATCCCAATACACAATCCTACATCTTACACAAATAGTTATAGTTGTTTTTTCGGTACTTTTAAATTTACACACACGTGATATTGATCTATACCAAAAACGTATATTAGTAAAGACTATATAGAAAGATTTGAAAGTTTTTACTCTAGTTTATTACGCGCATCTATAAAGTGTCACTCAATAATATTTCTCTATCAATAAAATTATTTTTTCTATCAATGAAAAACAAAAGACTTGAAAATTTATATATTATACATTATGTATAGTTTAAATGTCATTAGAAATGTATACTGTCAATTGTATTTGATTAATCGCCGTATACGAAAATAATATACACAATATCAAATCTTTCATGGTTCATCCGAGAACCTTACAAACTTACTACACGAATAATTTCTTATATTTTGTGTGATTGTACTTATCACTACATTTTTAGTAAAAATTTAAACAATTTGTTTTAAAACGTACCTTAATGACCTTAATGGCCTTACTTTTAAATACAGATATGCTTTTTTTAACATGTTGGAACATTCAGGATGACTCCTAAGAAAGTAAAAAAAAATGTAAGGGTATATATCTTGGTTTATTTTATGAAGAAAATAAATCAACAATTTTAACATAGGTCCTTTAAGATATAAATCAATTAGAAATTAAAGAGGCCGTTTTTAGGACCGGGCATAGGTGTAAGTAGCCAGTTAAATTAAATTATTTAAGTGAATTCATATACCGTATTCTTTTCCAACTTATCCTGTACGCCAGTTACATACTAGTCTTAAAACACAGGTTAATCCCCGTAAGTGGAAGTGTTATCGTTATGGAAGTTTATATATGTTATTGCGGACAATATTACCTACAGCCCCAGTGGTCGAGCTGGTTAAGACGCCCGCACGGATTGAGGGAGGTCCCAGGTTCGAATCCTGGCTGGGGTAATATTTTTCGCAATAAGAATTTTATTAAGGGGGGAAGGGGGTTATCATATTAGATGCTACTGTGTAGCATTATTAAAATAATTTATAAATGTGAATTCACTGACGATAACACTTCCACTTACGGGGATTAACCTGTGTTTTAAGACTAGTAGGTAACTGGCGCACAGGATAAGTTGGAAAAGAATACGGTATATTAATTCACTTAAATAATTTACGAGGGTGAGTCAAAAATTATCTGCACTTTTCGTTCTACAATTTATTTACACAAAAATAGGGGTTCAATGTATATATCATTTTTCAACATAGTCTCCTCCCTTGGCAATCCACTTGGTCCAGCGGTCCACAAGCTTGCGTATTCCTTCCAAGAAGAAGGTTTTCGATTGGTCGCAAAGCCACTTTTGCACCGCTTCCTGCACGTCTACGTCTGTAGAAAATTGGCGACCTCGCAAAGCATCCTTGAGCGGCCCAAACAGATGAAAGTCGGAGGGAGCAAGATCTGGGCTGCAGGAAGCGGTGCAAAAGTGGCTTTGCGACCAACCGAAAATCTTCTTCTCGGAAGGAATACGCAAGCTTGTGGACGGCTAGACCAAGTGCATTGCCAAGGGAGGAGACTATGTTAAAAAATGGTGTACACATTGAACCCCTATTTTTGTGTAAATAAATTGTAGAACGAAAAGTGCAGATAATTTTTGACTCACCCTCGTAATTTAACT